TTGAATATTTTCTTCCATAACATAATATGCAGAGAGTACTTGATATAATGAAATATAGCCGCCAATGTGGACATGTTTATTGTCACAGACATTGTCACAGACTTTGACTCAGGCATTGTTACAGTCAAATTGTCACACTGTCAGAGTGTATCAGGTAACAAAGAAATGTATATGTATACACGTGTCAGCATACACACTCAGTATTATCTCCCAATAATCATTAATGGGGTTTCCTTTCAGTGAGCATTTTATGAAATAACATAATTTCCAAACAAAATATTTTATTTAGCATTAACACTCAATTTGACTGTCACCATAAAATGTTGACACTCACAGTATGCTAATAGTGTTAATTGGCAGGTGTGTGTTCACCCGGAGACGCACATGTGTGTATATTGGAGGTTCGGTTGCACCAGAAGGTACACATATGTGTGTACGTGAGGCTCATGTGCACCAGGAGGTACACATGTTGACCAGACCACACACTAGAAGGTGAAGGGACGACGACGTTTTGGTCCGTGCTGGACCAATCTCAAGTCGATTGTCCATTCTCACAATCGACTTGAGAATGGTCCAGGACGGACCGAAACGTCGTCGTCCCTTCACCTTCAAGTGTGTGGTCTGGTCAACATACTTTAGCTACGTTATTGTGACTCATCGCCTGCATAAAGGTACACATGTGTGTGTACGTGAAGCTCGGGTGCACCAGGAGGTACACATGTGTGTGTCTGTGAGGCTCAGGTACCAGCAACACTGCTCAAGCAATACAACAGCCAGTGTTGTGAGCCTAACACAAACACTGACTTAATGATCCTCTCAATCGATCAGACTCACAACACAACCTAGTACTTATTAAATATATATTTAATAATTCAAAGACTATAATTACCGAACATCAATAAATAACTTTAGGTCTATTAAAAAAAAGGAGGATTACAAAAAATATATATAAAATATGTAAAATAAAAGCAATACGCAGATGATGAGTCATAATATCGTGGCTGAAAAATGTTGACCAAACATTTGGTTGTTGATAAAAGTTGATAAAAGCAAAACCTTAACTTTGATAACATAAATAAATAATAGTTTGGCCCACGAACAAAAGTTTTGCCCCTCGCCCGGGAAGACGAGGAAGACCATTGCCTCTCTCGTGTGTTTATGAGGCGTGTTGTGTGGCTTCGTGAAAGGTAAACCCAACCAACATCAATTACTCGCCCCCACACACTCCTCACGTACACATGAGCCCAACTCCTATGTAAACCTCATAAATCGTGTCCCTTCATTGCCTGCCCCTCGCCTCACACACACACAATGATGCTCTCCTCATAAAAGACTCATCCACCTCATGTTCACACGACAAATACACAATGACACAGTTATATAAAACCTCGAATTATGAAACACATAGTTTTCCACATATAGTTTTTACGTATAGACACTTTACGGCACTTTTGCATAGACCTTCACCGCTATTCATTTCTTGCGGGGATATTAACAACACACACCAACACCCTTTGTAGGTCAGCGTATATATATACACTCAAGTGTTCTTATATATCATGAACTCTGTTCCGGACGAGAGCACACTTGCTATAGTCGAGCAGCCTAAGATATCCCACACTAACTGGCTTAGGTTAGGTTTTGGGCCTAAGACCTCTTAGCTGCATGAGGGGTTGTTAAGGCCCTGACACTAGTTTTCTGATCGGCCTGTGAGTATACTTTAATCCTGAATATAGACCATGACTAACGTAAACTTTTAATGTGTATACACCGAGAGGCAGGATACACATCTCCGTGTAAATATTTTGCCTGTGTCAGCATTTTTTATTAATAAACTTCACACGATAGTTTATATGAAAAGACCGCCTAATGTAGTTTATAATAAATCATATAGCACCTATTGTATAGAAGACCAACTGTGGAAGTATCAGACTATATCGCTATATTTTAAGCTACATTGCCCTATAAGGAACATATATAGAATCTTGCCACCTTATACCGCAGGTATAAGACATAAATACACCTATAATAAGAGACAATGATTGTCTGAGTATCCGAAGTTAAAGGCCAGACGCTCGGGGCTAGTTTCACTCAACTTTACAGTGGGAATGGTCTTGGGTACGGGCCGGACACAGCCTGGTCTGGGTAAGCCTAAGTTCAATGTTTTAAGAAATATGAGCCTATAACCCAATACCTTCCACGTGCGATTTTCATGAAATCGGGGATGTGGTGTCCTGAGGCTTTATCACTTACTCTAAAGTGATGAACTGAAGTCATTCGATTTACAGTGAAGAAATAGTGAATTAGGAAGATGTTAGTGATGAGAGTAGCTCGGTTAAATTAACTTAAATATTCTAGAGAGACACATAAGGAGATATTGAGATGCATATATATATATATATATATATATATATATATATATATATATATATATATATATATATATATATATATATATATATACATATACACAATATAAGCCCAATAGCAACCATAACAAAAGTTCAGCAGAGTGTGTGGCATAAAAGCTCAGCCCATAACAACACTCAATAAACTATGCAGAAGCAAATAGCTTCCATATAAATCCGGACACTCTTTAATAATTATGTAAAACTCTACACCAGTCACTTTCAAAATACCTGGGGCAGGCCCCCCCCCCCCATCTTGTCCTAACACTAATTCATGCTTCTTTCTCTCCCTCACTCTTCCTCCTCCTTCTCAAGCTGTCCCTCCTCTTCCCCCTCTCACTCTTCCTCTCTCTCCTCTATATACTCGTCACTCGCAGGCTTCAGGAGAAGGAACCTGGTGTTGTTGTAATACAGTATACACTCATACACTCACAGTGTGACTAAGGCGACACATGGGCTGGCGTGAGGGTAGGGGGCACCTCAGGTACTCCAACTGCAATCTTGCCAAAAATGTACTCCAGTGGCACATTGGTTGAGGGGACAAAAATGTATTATCATTATAATAATACATTTTAGTCAGATTCCCAAGTCGTCACTTTTTGTGTTTTTGTTTCTGCACACACGTGTGTGTGTGTGTTTTGTTTGTTCATGTTTGTGTGTTTTTGTCCATATGTGTGTGTGTGTGTGCTTATTGGTCACTCTGGTGTCACTGCCGTGTCCTCTGTCCAGTATGTCCTCCGTGTCAAGCCAGGTAAGTCACGCGGCTGTGTGTGTACCACTAATACATAATAAATGTTTTAAACATATTATTATTACATATATTAAGCACTGTGTATATTAACGCAATGCCAAACATATATCATACCCTAGACTCAAATCTGTTTTCATGAATATTTAAGACTTTGTAACGAAATGTACAATGTAGATTTCTAGTTTAAGACTTCACATAAAATGAGATCTGGACCTGAGGGCCCGTTAAGGCCTGGATTAAAAACATTTGGTAGTAATCCAGGCCGGATGTAATCCCTGCTACCAGATGGATTCCCAGTTCCCGTCAATCAGGGTTCAGCAGTATATATTGTAAGACTACTTTATGTTTCGTTACAAATCGTTTCATCTCCTAAGATCTTACAAAGTCATTGTATTAAGAGGGAATATTTACACTATAGTAATAATATTTCAAGTCCGGGTTGAATAATTATATTTTTTCTTCTGGTGATATTTTAAAATAGTTTATTAATATCCAAATTTTAACAAAAAAGTGACAATAAATATTTCTTCCTTGTTCAATAGATACACTATGTCCGTACTCCCCCACAGCTTGGGTCAGGTCCCACTACCCTCCCACAGCCTGGGTCAGGTCCCACTACCCTCCCACAGCCTGGGTCAGGTCACACTACTCTCCCACAGCTTGGGTCAGGTCCCACTACCCTCCCACAGCCTGGGTCAGGTCACACTACCCTCCCACAGTCTGGGTCAGGTCACACTACTCTCCCACAGCCTGGGTCAGGTCACACTACCCTCCCACAGCTTGGGTCAGGTCCCACTACCCTCCCACTGCCTGGGTCAGGTCACACTACCCTCCCACAGTCTGGGTCAGGTCCCACTACTCTCCCACAGCCTGGGTCAGGTCCCACTACCCTCCCACAGCCTGGGTCAGGTCACACTACTCTCCCACATCCTGGGTCAGGTCACACTACTCTCCCACAGCCTGGGTCAGGTCACACTACCCTCCCACAGCCTGGGTCAGGTCACACTACCCTCCCACAGCCTGGGTCAGGTCCCACTATTCTCCCACAGCCTGGGTCAGGTCTCACTACTCTCCCACAGCCTGGGTCAGGTCTCACTACTCTCCCACAGCCTGGGTCAGGTCACACTACCTTCCCACAGTCTGGGTCAGGTCCCACTACTCTCCCACAGCCTGGGTCAGGTCTCACTACTCTCCCACAGCCTGGGTCAGGTCCCACTACCCTCCCACAGCCTGGGTCAGGTCCCACTACCCTCCCACAGCCTGGGTCAGGTCCCACTACCCTCCCACAGCCTGGGTCAGGTCACACTACCCTCCCACAGCCTGGGTCAGGTCCCACTACCCTCCCACAGCCTGGATCAGGTCACACTACCCTCCCACAGCCTGGGTCAGGTCTCACTACCCTCCCACAGCCTGGCTCAGGTCCACTACTCTCCCACAACCTGGGTCAGGTCCCACAACTCTCCCACAACCTGGCTCAGGTCCCACTACTCTCCCACAGCCTGGGTCAGGTCCCACTACTCTCCCACAGCCTGGCTCAGGTCCCACTACTCTCCCACAGCCTGGGTCAGGTCTCACTACCCTCCCACAGCCTGGCTCAGGTCCCACTACCCTCCTACAGCCTGGGTCAGGTCACACTACCCTCCCACAGCCTGGGTCAGGTCACACTACTCTCCCACAGCCTGGGTCAGGTCCCACTACCCTCCCACAGCCTGGGTCAGGTCACACTACCCTCCCACAGCCTGGGTCAGGTCACACTACCCTCCCACAGCCTGGGTCAGGTCACACTACCCTCCCACAGCATGGTACAAGCCACACCACTAACCACTGTCTACCTCCTACAGTGATGCCGGACTCCAGCTCACGCTACACCAAGCTGACCAGCAAGTGGGAGGAACCAGACACAGTGTTCGGCGCACCCACCGACAAGAAGCCCTACTCCAAGGTAGAAACTGGCTCTTCCTTCTTCTCTACCTATGGTTACACCAACCGTAAGAAGGACTATGTGGGCGAGAAGGTGCGTGATTATTACTACTTCGGAGACAGCGCCAAGGTGCGTTTAGGCCGTCGGAAGCCGTCACAACGCATGGACTGGCTGGGTTGTTTATAGACCGTCACCTATAACATCCTGCGTCCGCCTCAGGTCGCCTGACGAGTGTGACCGACGTGTGTGTTCGTAGGGTGTGACGTCAGGCTTTTTTTAGAGATGCCAGATAGAGTAGAATCGACCGGCTGGTCTTGTTTTCTTTTGGAAGTGTGATGTTACACGCCTTACTGGGTGGGCCTCGTGCGATGTTTGTTCCACCTGGCCCACCTCTCCCTCAGGCCCACCTGCCGCCACCACTGGTCAAGCACCAGGGGGGGGGGGCGCCACCTGCTGCCACCACTGGTCAAGCACCAGGGGGGGGGGCGCCACCTGCTGCCACCACTGGTCAAGCACCAGGGGGCGCTACCTGCTGCCACCACTGGTCAAGCACCAGGGGGCGCCACCTGCTGCCACCACTGGTCAAGCACCAGGGGGCGGCTCCTGCTGCCACCACTGGTCAAGCACCAGGGGGCGCCACCTGCTGCCACCACTGGTCAAGCACCAGGGGGCGGCTCCTGCTGCCACCACTGGTCAAGCACCAGGGGGTGCCACCTGCTGCCACCACTGGTCAAGCACACAGAGGGTGCCACCTCCTGCCAGCCACCACTGGTGAAGCACCAGGGGGCGCCTCCTGCTGCCACCACTGGTCAAGCACCCATAGGGTGCCACCTGCCTCCACCACTGGTCAAGCACCAGGGGGGCGCCTCCTGCTGCCACCACTGGTCAAGCACCCATAGGGTGCCACCTGCCTCCACCACTGGTCAAGCACCAGGGGGCTCCACCTGCTGCCACCACTGGTCAAGCACCAAGAGAGTGCCACCTGCCTCCACCACTGGTCAAGTACCCAGAGGGTGCCATGCACTACACACTAGGACTCAGGTTATCTCATCAATCATATTACCTGTCGAACAAGGTGGTTTAGTGATACACATCGGCTTGCACCAGCAGGGTAGCGTGTGTGTGTCCGTATGTATCTCTTGAGATTGGGCCCCTGACACGTGATCTGTGTCAGCAGTATAGTGTGTATGCTTGTATGTGTCCTGTAAAGTATGGTATATTAGCATATATTTTGTTTTAACTGAATTATTATTAGAGTCTAATGTATCTTAGAAGGTCCACCTGTGACACATGGGCAGCACTAGGTGTAGTTAGTGTGGCTGTATGTGTAACAGGGACACATGGGCAGCACTAGGTGTAGGTAGTGTGGCTGTATGTGTAACAGTGACACATGGGCAGCACTAGGTGTAGGTAGTGTGTCTGTATGTGTAACAGTGACACATGTACGGGCATAAGACGTGGCGCGGGTTCATAGAAGGACCACTGATGACACAAGAGGAACCATTAGAGGTTAGGTGCTAGTGTGAGAGGTGAGATGTTGAGTTGTGAGGTGCTGGCGTGAGGTGGTCACTCTGTATGACGTGTGAGGCGCTGGTGTGAGGCAAGAGGTGCAAGCTTGAGGGATGAGGTGCGGACGAGACATGAGGGACGAACATCCGCACGATGCGGTCGCCGTCAGCCTGGCGTGGAGTCAGTAAGCTGACGCCCCCAGCCTCCCTCAGACGCGGCTGCTGACGGCAGCCCCTGAGGGTAGAGGCGGGGCGCTGACGAGACAAGTGTGCTGGGCGCGAACACGAGATCCCACTTCGACTCTCTGACACGATCAAAAAACATACTTTAGCCGCTAACTAGACCTCATAACCTCTTTTAGCGGAACGTGGCTGGCAAGCTTATTGAAGCACTGACTAACCTTCTTATAAATTCCGTGACTTCCTGCTTAAATAAAACCCCCCAAACGGGACTTAATCAGAGCTATGATCCTAAGCTCACCTCAGTGCTCAGTCTCAGCCGTGGCCATGAGCTCAGGTAGGTAAACAATGCTATGCTTTAGAGATGCTTGCTTAACAAAAGACGAACGAGTCTGGTAAACAAGATGCACTTTACCGGAGATGATGCAAGAGCAGCCTCCCAAGTCCACACACCTGGTCCACATGTGTACACCCGGGACAGGTTCACATGTGGACACGGAGGACAGGTATACACGCGTACACAGAGGACAGGTATATATGCGCATACGGAGGACAGGTATATATGCGCATACAGAGGACATATATAAAAGCGTACACGGAAGACAGGTGTACACGGAAGACAGGTGTACACGGGGACAGGTGTACACGGAAGACAGGTGTACACGAGGACAGGTGTACACGGGGGACAGAGGCCTCGCAGCTGAATGGACAGCGCTCGGGGGTCGTAGTCTTTGGGACCCGGGTGCAGACGAGGAGTCACAATAACGTGGCTGAAATAGGGTTCAATTTCCGGGCTCAATTACCGGCCGGGGCAGAAACAAATGGGCAGAGTTTCTTTCACCTGAATCTCCTGTTCACCTAGCAGTAAAAAGGTACCTGGGAGTTATACAGCTAATACGGGCTGCTTCCTGTGTGTGTGTGTGTACTCACCTATTTGTACTCACCTATTTGTGCTTACGGGGGTTGAGCTTTGGCTCTTTGGTCCCACCTCTCAACTGTCAATCAACAGGTGTACAGGTTCCTGAGCCTACTGGGCTCTATCATATCTACACTTGAAACTGTGTAAGGAGTCAGCCTCCACCACATCACTGCCTAATGCATTCCATCCGTTAACTACTCTGACACTGAAAAAGTTCCTTCTAACGTCTCTGTGGCTCATGTGGGTACTTAGTTTCCAACTGTGTCCCCTTGTTCGCGTCCCACCAGTGTTGAATAGTTTATCCTTGTTTACCCGGTCGATTCCCCTGAGGATTTTGTAGGTTGTCATCATGTCTCCCCTTATTCTTCTGTCTTCCAGTGTCGTAAGGTGCATTTCCCGCAGCCTTTCCTCGTAACTCATGCCTCTTAGTTCTGGGACTAGTCTAGTGGCATACCTTTGGACTTTTTCCAGCTTTGTCTTGTGCTTGACAAGGTACGGGCTCCATGCTGGGGCCGCATATTCCAGGATTGGTCTTACATTTGTGGTGTACAAGATTCTGAATGATTCCTAACGCAGGTTCCTGAAAGCTGTTCTGATGTTAGCCAGCCTCGCATATGCCGCAGACGTTAATCTTTTTATGTGGGCTTCAGGAGACAGGTTTGGTGTGATATCAACTCCTAGATCTTTCTGTCTGTTTCATTAAGTACTTCATCTCCTATTCTGTATCCTGTGTCTGGCCGCCTGTTTCCACTGCCTAGTTTCATTACTTTGCACTTACTCGGGTTGAACTTCAACAGATATTTGTTGGACCCTTCACTCAGTCTTTCTAGGTCATCTTGTAGCCTCCTACTATTATCCTCTGTTTCAATCCTCCTCATAATTTTTGCATCATCAGCAAACATTGAGAGAAACGAGTTTATACCCTCTGGGAGATCATTTACATATATCAGAAACAGTATAGGTCCAAGGACTGACCCCTGAGGGACTCCACTCGTAACGTCTCGCCAATCTGAGACCTCACCCCTCACACTGACTCGTTGTCTCCTGTTACTTAGGTACTCCTTTATCCAATGGAGTACCTTCCCTTTCACTCCAGCCTGCATCTCCAGCTTTTTCGCTAGCCTCTTGTGTGTTACTGTATCAAAGGGTTTCTGACAATCCAAAATATGCAGTCTGCCCACCCTTCTCTTTCTTGCCTTATTTTTGTTGCCTGGTCGTAGATTCAAGTAACCCTGTGAGGCAGGACCTGCCATCCCTGAACTCATGTTGATGCCGTATTACAAAGTTCTTTCGGTCCAGATGTTCCACTAGCTTTCTTCGCACAATCTTCTCCATCAGCTTGCATGGTATGCAGGTTAGGGACACTGGTCTGTAGTTCAGTGCCTCCTGTCTATCCCCTTTCTTGTATATCGGGACTACGTTAGCTGATTTCCAAATTTCTGGCAGTTCCCCTGTTGCCAGTGATTTGTTATACACTATGGAGAGTGGTAGGCACAGTTCTTCTGCTCCTTCCTGTAGTATCTAAGGGGAGATTCCATCTGGGCCTATAGCCTTTGTCACATCCAACTCTAGTAAACACTTCCTTACTTCCCCACTGGTAATCTCAAACTCTTCCAGTAGTTCCTGGATAGCTATTCCCTCTCTTATCTCTGGAATTTCTCCTTGCTCTAAGGTGAAGACCTCTTGGAATTTCTTATTCAGTTCCTCACAAACTTCCTTGTCGTTTGTAGTGAATCCTTCTGCCCCTGTCCTTAATTTCATAATCTGTTCCTTTACTGTTGTTTTTCTCCTGATGTGGCTATGCAGCAATTTAGCCTGAGTCTTTGCCTTGCTTGCGATGTCATTTTCGTATTGTCTTTCTGCCTCTGTGTGTGTGTGTGTGTGTGTGTGTGTGTGTGTGTGTGTGTGTGTGTGTGTGTGTGTGTGTGTGTGTGTGTGTGTGTGTGTGTTTTAAAGAAAAATATATAAAGTAAACATAATAGAAGAAAAAATTTGGTCGGCTAGAAAGGCGGGGTACAAGAGCTAATAGCTCGATTCCGAAGAAACAAATTTTAATTACTCACGTACACGGGGGGGAGGGACAGGTATACTCACGTACACAGGGGACAGGTATACTCACATACACAGGGGGACAGGTATACTCACGTACACAGGGGACAGGTATACTCACGTACACAGGGGACAGGTATACTCACGTACACAGGGGGACAGGTATACTCACGTACACGGAGGGACAGGTATACTCACGTACACAGGGGACAGGTATACTCACGTACACGGGGGAAACAGGTATACTCACGTACACAGGGGACAGGTATACTCACGTACACGGGGGGGGCAGGTATACTCACGTACACGGGGGACAGGTACACTCACGTACACGGGGGACAGGAATACTCACGTACACGGGGGGACAGGTACACCCACGTACACGGGGGACAGATACACTCACGTACACGGAGGGACAGGTACACTCACGTACACGGGGGACAGGTACACTCACGTACACGGGGGACAGGTAC